TGAAACACATACACACACACATATATATATATATATATATATATATATATATATATATATATATATATATATACATACATAAGAGATATACATAAAAGATAAAAATAAAGGTTGTAGAATTTGCTTCTGATGTAGTCTATTAGAAGCACTGTACAAATTCAATAAAACAATTGATTTAATAAATTTAAATTGTATAATTTTTGCCGCAGTTTATTATTTAATTTACTTTTATTAAAACTGCATGTTGATAGAAAACTCTTTAGTTAAGTTAAAAAGTCTTAATGTTGTATATGATGTTATTATTTTTTTTATTAATTCATAATAGTGGTTTGCATTCTGTACATCATTGAAATGATTTTCCATGTTAAATAAATCTTCGTTGACACATTGTAGGTGTATGTTGCTTTCAATTACAAGTTTTTTCTTAAAACAATAATTATTTATTTTTAATAATCTTTCTGATTCTTGGCAGATCTGAAAATCATTAAAATTTATTGCTTTTACCAGAAAATAAATAAATGTATCATTTTTATTTTAATACTCCTTTTGAGGGATATGTCAATTGCCCATTGTCTTTTAGTATGATGAGATGATTTGATGATTCGCTAAATATGTTTCTTCTGGCTGAAATCAAGCATTTTCTGCATATTTGTTGGGATTTGTAACAGCATATTAATGCAAAATTTTAAATGAATTTTGGAGAGGTTTACATTAGAAGTAAAAAAAACCTGCATTTTGCGCATGAAATGGTCGATGTTATTGACTTCACCACCCATCCTATACTCTTGAAAGCTCCAAATTTAAATGAAATGAATACAACTGATCACCTAATTGGCGCAAAAACTTGATGGCAAAGAAAACAACGTCCTACCTCAGGGGAACTGAGTCTCTGGACGCTAAACTAAGATTGATTGATTTTGGCTATCAGTATACATTTCTTTATATATACTAGTTCATAGAAAATCATGATCAACAAAATTTTACTTGTTCAATGTTCTCGGGTGTGGCAGTGTTAGTCCACTTTTTCTTAAAAATTGGTATGCACGAGGACCAGTCTTGTAACTATCATCATATACTTTGTTAACTCTTTTAAATGGTATGAGTTTTTTTATCTAGAAGCAAAAATAAACAAAAAGTTAGTCAAAATTTCAATTCATTTTGCTATGGTTATATAGCATAAAATCTTTGTATGTAGCTAATTCATTTTTGAATTTATTGCATTCACTCATAAGTCTTCTTATTGTTGCCTGCAGCAGTGTGATTCTGGACTTATAATACTTTGATTGCCTTTGCTGTTGCTTGATGAGATGGGCATCCATTGAGCAAAACATCTAAAAATGGTTTTAAATTGAAAGTAAATAGCTGCATTTAAAAGTTTATATATATATACATATATACATATATATATATTTATATATATATATATATATATATATATATATATATATATATATATATATATGCCCAATAAAGTAATAAAACTCTTTATATTCTGTATTTCTTATGACAAAAAGCCATTTTAACAAAGGTATCCTAATAATAATAATAAACCCATAATACAAAAAAAACATATTTTCCATTAGAATCAAAATTAGCATTTTATAAAATGTAATAAGGAAATGACCAAATCCTTATCGTTTTATTTGTTAAATATCTGATAGTAAGCCGGCAAATGCCAATGTTATTGTGTTGTATATTAATATTTGGTTTGAATTAATCAATTTTGCTTCAGCAATCCTTTGTTTATTATATATAAATACTAAATTAATTGCCTCAGTTTGTGTTGTCTTGGTTTTTGCCTTTCCAAATACCACACCAGGAAATACTGTTGGGTAGGCATCTTTCTGACTTTTTTATTTGACTTTGAAAAGGATTTTGAATCAAAATGTTTACTACATATATATGATCTTTTTCTTTCAAAACCTCTACACCTGCCATTCAATGCATTGATCCACTGACTTTTTATAGGTGATTTTTGAGGAATGCTGTAATGCATATTGCATTTTGTCAAAAATGAATTATTGAAATTTATATCTATTAATCCATGGAGAGAGGTCAAGTGAATCATAAAATATGCAAATGATATAAAAATATTATTAAGATCATATTATTACCTGTGCATAGATATATTTTGGTCTTTATATGTCCCATTACAATTTTTTACTATACACTTTAATGGCATTTTTAATTTAATAAAAGATAGAAATTATATTCAAAAACTAACTTACTGCTTATCGTCTGCTCAATTCATTCCAAAGATCAGAAATTTTCAGGTAGCATATCCAAAAAAATGTATACAATTATTTGATTCAATAGCAATATTTATTATAATTGAAAAAATATATTGATTATATTAAAATTTAAAGTAACATCAATATGGTATTCCACATTACTATTTTAATTAATAATAATAAAATAAAAAGATTTATGTGGCTTGTTATCTAGTTCTAATTAATTAACCAATTATTTTTGTGATAAAACAAGAAAATTTCGATGCCAGTACAAACGTCGA